TGATCATTCCTATAAATTGTAACACTACACTGGATTCCATGAGGTCAGACTGAAAATGGCTGCCTTCCATTTTGGGGTCAAATTGTCATGGTTTATGTTGGTGGACCCAGGCCTCATGCATTTGCATTATGCATTTGTGATTGGTTCATTGTCTAGCGCTTGGACTGACGGTGTCAGTGCTATACCCATAAAGGGGTGGAGCCAGGATGTAATGTAATGGCAGGAAGAACGTGTGTCTCGATCTCTTGCTGGTTTCTCCTTGTGATTTGCAGCTGCCATGAACTGTGGCCCTGCCTTGGAGCCAGCTGAGTATGGACTGAAACCTCCAAAAACTGTAAGAAATAAACCTTTCCTTTCCCAACTTTGGTCATCAGGTATTTTGTCTCAACTACAAATGAAAAGTAACTAAGACACAAATCCTGAATCAATTTAGTTTTCACTTCACCACCCTTTCTCCTATTTGTTAATCAGATATTTGATGCAGATAGGATTCCAAATCCAATCACTTGGGGCCACCAGTGTTAGGTGTCTGTTTAGACTCCTTGGTACTATGCCCAGATGATTGTGTTTTCACTGTACCACTCCCCAAAGACTCTTCTGATTCTTTTCCCAGGAGTGCACATTTTCTCAGAATGGATCACAGTATGATATATGATATTATTTACCTCTTTATAAAGTGCATGGTGGGTGCTTAAAAGCAAAAGCTATGCCTATTATCATGAAACCAGGCTTTCACTAGTCCCTTGAACTTCATTTATTTACTCTTTTAGAAGCTAAGTAGGCATAACAGAAGCAGGGAAGCAACACCAGGAAAAGTGCAAACTGTTCCTGAAGCTGCCAACTGCCAAAGAAAAACCCAAGTGAAACAATGACCAGTAATTATTTATTCCCTAATTTCCTAATAATCTACTAAGAATACCTAGCTGATAAAGTAGCTTCCAAAACATGACAGGATTGTAGGTGCTTATTGAGAAGCAGCATTTAATGGTACTGAAACTCTAGGAAGACAGGAAAGGTTCCTCAGGCACATTTTTGGTCATCAAGGCAGGGAGGGTTCCTTGCTGAAGATCAAGGATTTCCTGATCTTCAGTGCCTGTTCAGCATGGACTGGAGTGAGAATGCAGTATCTGAACTCAGGTGGGGATCTGAGCAGAGCTCTCTCTAGATTGCCCTTCTGTGCCTCTGAGACCTGCTTCTTTGGAGTTGTCCCTACCCTGTCTTAGACCTAGAAAACTGTGGCCAAGGACATGTTGTACTAATGAATCCTCACTGAAAAGGGACTTTCACAGCCCAAGGTCCACAGACATCACTTTAACCAGAGTCAACAAACCCAACTTACCCATGTGACCTCAGAAGATCAAGCTCAGGGATGCCAGCCTTGGGTTTGAATTAGAATTTTCTGGAGTAGTCTGCAACTTCAGGTATCAGAACACAGATGAAAACAAGTATACCAGAAATTCTAGGGTCGGGTCTGGGTTGGAAGCTTTTCAGAGAGACTCACAGGATTCCAATGTTGAGGACCACAATCTATACCCACCCTCACAATACTCAAGGCCTCAAGAGAGAAATCAATTCCCAGGGCCCTGCTTCAGTGTGACAAAGCTCACACTGATGTAAGATTTTCTGCAAAGCAGGCTGGTTTAAGCACCTCCCATTGCTGTAGAACTCAAGAATTCAGAAAGACTGTGGCAGGAACAGAAGGATTTATTAGGTATACACTTGACTCAGGAGACTTGTGTCCAAAAGACTGAGCCCTGAACAGTGGAAAAGCTCTAGTTTTGTGCATTTTGGCAAGAGTGTTGGTCTACTGCCATGTAACTTTGGGGCAGAAAAGCAGAAAAAAGACAGTTGGTCAAGCTGTGCCCAGTTGCTTTGGTTGAGTAAAAACAGGAATTTTTAAGAACTAGAGGTTATAAAACTTTGCTTATAAAGTTACTGTTTTTATTTGTATTAGAATAAAGAACAGCTGAAGAGAGGAAGAAGTTTGGATAACCTAACTTTTTCTTTTTAAATCTTGCTTCAATATTACCATGCTTACACATGACACATTGATTGAACGTTTCTGCAAAATAGGCTATGTGATTCTCCTCCGATTTTGGCCATACTTTTTGAGGATAGGTGATGAAACCAAGGTTTACTGTGCACAGAGTATGTAAAAGTTCTGGGATGTGAATCATGAACTGGGGTATGGGCCCAAGCAGTAGAATTTTGAACCCTGACCACTGATTACTGTGTGTTTCATATAGCCTAACACTCCTGGCTACCCGAAATCCAAGACTTTCTGCATAATCTCTCTACTCTTCACACAGTGCTGAATCAGGACCATGACTGGTACATAGTCATAGAAATGGGTGAACGAAATCTTGGGAAGCTTGCATTTACCCATGAATGCCACAGCTGATAGCACTATGCTATTGGGTACTTTTGTCTTTTCTTCAACAGTCTTTCCTTAGCCTCTTAAATGTTGTTAAGTCATCTCTATTCTACAGATAAGGAAACTGGAATCATTGAGGGCTACTAGGTGGTTGAAGAATGCATGATATTGTAATTATATTTGGATCTGTTAGTGTCTACTTAGTGCCAGGATATTTTCACAGAGGATTTCAAAGCCTTTTTCCTTCTTAGAAGGAGTCCATGATTTCCATCACTTCCTGGATAAGAAAACTGAGGCTGAGAGAAACAAATGCACCACAACATTGTTCCCCACTATTTTGTAGAGAGCATATCTTATACCAAACATGGTTTCATGTTTTGTTTTTGTTTTTTTGTTTGTTTGTTTGTTTGTTTGTTTTTAAAGAACCGATGGGTAATTTTTGAAGGCCCAGCACTTACTACCACCACACTTCCTCTATTTGAGACTCTTCAAGATATCTGGGGGAAACACCCCTCATGAAGTCCTGCCCGCCTAATGAAATAACATAAACTCTGATTCTTCTGTCACATGCTCCTTCTGTTCCATGTCCACTGCTCAGTAAAGGATCCACATCTCAGTGAGAGAAGCATCCTGGGTTCCTCACAGGCACTGAGATGTGTCCCTAAGGAGACCAGAGCAGGATCTTCCTCATCTAGCAATGTCAAGCCAGCATTGTGTCACCCAATAGAAATTTTGGGGGAGTCTGTTGTGGTTTCAATGCCTGTTGTTGGGGCACAGAAGAATCACAAGATTTCAGGAGAGAGCTGGAGCAATTCTGTTCATTGGAACAAGCAAGTGGAGAGTAAGGCTATGGGTGAGACTCGAGGATCACCCTTACCTCCTCATCTGTCACAAGTAAGGGCTCCCTCTGGGTCACAGTGTCCTAGTCTTTAATAATGCAACAAAACTCTCCTGCAGTCTTGATTCAAGTAGAAACTACATGAATAAGAGGTAGCATGTGTCATGCTGCCACTGTGTTCATCCAGGCTTCCTCCTTTCTCATGCAGCCTAAGTAGGAGCAATGGCATTACACAAAGGAACAAATGCCCAAACAAGAGTCTAAAGACTGAGTCAGCCTAAGACACTTGCCAACTGTGATTACCTAGGCATAGGATGCACCATGTTGGAATTCTTGAGTCTTTCTTTACCTGGGAAGATGTGATGATACCTAACCCTGTCTATGTCTAGGGATTGTGAGGACAACTGACTATCACATCTGGGAGGGAAAGTTAACAGCATCCACATGAATTACAGCACATTTTCACTCTGACCCAACCACCTCTTCACTAGAAATTTTCCTCCTGTTTGGGATGGTGGTTGTACAAGTTCATCCTCTGCAGCACAGTTGTAGTGGGCCATGGCCGGGATCAACATAAACGCCCACCTACAGATGACTGAAAAGTTTTATGAAATATCATCTAAAGAAGTAATTTTCAGCTGTTAAAATAATAGAGCAGTTCTCTCCATCTTAGTATGGAATCCTAATATGAAATTATGATGCGGCTGATATTCGTGAGCAATTTTCCAATCACAAACAGCCTTTAGGTGTGAGAAAAATCCTAAACTGCTGGGAAATAGATGAAATGCAAAATATTGGGTTTCTAATCTGCAGTTCTGAACCTCCAGTGTATAACTCGTGGTCCCTGCATGGACACATGCTGGGGCTGCTTTTAGCATAGCTGAACTGAGATGTGGTTTCTGCTTATGATCCTGGTACTAATTGGATATTTCTGGTCCTCAGACTTACTCTCTGTAAGCAGATCAGGTTGCATGGTCTGAAGGTCACTTGTCCCAGAATTAGACATAGAGACAAGATGTTGATTGTGGGCCAGAAACACAAAGTGAGCATACTTAGCTTTCTCAGTGAGGGTTTCTTATGTCTCATGGGATATCTTTTCCTGAAAAGAACACTCAGGTAGTCTCACAGTCCTCAGTGTCTGTGTGAGGCTGTTGCTGATACTACAAGGTTTGGTATACAGGCCTAGGGAAAGGTTCAACATCTTGGCATTTCTCCAGCCATGGTGTTGAAATAAAAATTGAGCCTCTGACTGTGAGGAATATTCTCAGTATTTTTATTTAGGGTAAATGAATATAAGTGCAGCCTCCTACCTCTGAAGAGGAATGACAACTTGATAGGAGATGAGCTCAAACTGGGAAGCTCCCTTATGTTTCCCTGGCCTGCAGAAAGGATCCTGAAACACAGTAGACCATCAGTGCTATGGCATAAGGAAAGGCTCATACTCAGAGAGGAAGCTCAATGTGAGAGAAGTAGGTGAGATCTGGCCCTGGTCTGAGCTGTTCTCTCAAACTGTCATGGCCCTCTTCTGTTGAAACAACAGTAGGGGTAGAACGGAAAAACAGAAGGTTCTGTAGTAGTTAGACATTGGCTGCAGATGCTTACGTGGTGTGGAGCCTTGAGCAGGTATCATGCAGGTCTTGGCTGCCCTGATGGCTGGGTGACATTAAATCATGAACATGAGCATCCACCATTCCACCTGCTTCTTCACTGGTGCTCACAGAACGCAGGTTATGATTCCTGACCTACAGTCATACATTAAGAAATGAGGTAAGCCCAAACTGTACTCACCACCCACAAACATCTTGGTGCCTCCTCCAGACAACAGCTCCTTGTTCTCAAAGTCTGTTTTCTGGAACTTGACACAGTAGTAGATGCCCGCATCTGCAGGAGTGGTATTAGAGATTCGAATTGAAAAGTCCATGTTGTTTCTCTGTGTGGTATCTGCCACATTTGTGACTCGTGGGAAGTGGCCTCCTTTGAAATTGTAGATTAACTCCCGGCCTTGTCCTTGCCCCCTGAACCACAGGGTGGGTCCCACAGGAATCAGAGAGGTCACAGTACATTTCAGTGTGGCGGTCTCTCCTGCAGTGACCAACACTGGTTTTTCAGGCTGAATCACCTGTAGTATCGCTTCTGTGGCTGTTGAGAGGAAAAAACAGAGCAGTTGTCATTCATCCTGGTAATTCCTGTGTGTTTTCTAAAGTTAATCAGTATAAGATTTCAGTAACTGGGTGCACACTATGATGCATATTGGAGCTCAACACAATGCATTTGTTATCACAATCAACTTTCACATGAACTGCCCTTTATGAAGAAACTGAAGCCCACAGTGTCTAGAAACATGATAGAGTGTGAATTTGAGTGCCAACGACTTGCTTGCAAGTCTCATGTCAATCTCATGCCTTACCAAATATTTGTTACTCTTCACATTCTGATCACATAGTACACTGGACATGGCATAGGGCAGTCATGAGGTTCCTTTAGAGCAGTGAGTTCTGGGCAGAGGTGAGGATGTCATCAATGGGATATGCATTCAACTGCATGAACTGATGGATCAGTTTCCTCCTTAAACACAGATAGATGCTAAGGATGTGGTTTGTTCTGTCAGCCTATGAGATAGTAGTACATAGAACTCCCAAAGCACAATAACATATAACTTAATAAAAAGTGATACATTGCCCTAAGCCCCTAGGACCTTATGTTCACATTACACTGATAGATAAATCTCATTATAGAGATTTTGTCAGCTATGCTACTGTGACAAGTTACTGAAAATTTATTTCCTTAAAATGACAAAATTATTGCTTCATGAATGTAGACATCCAAGTCCCGGAGTAATGTCATTCAGGATTCCACATATATTAAAATAGAAGAGTATTGAAAGACCTAGAAACAATACTTCTAAGATTTGTATAGAATCAGAAAAGATGCAAAATAGCCAATGAAACCCAGAACAAAATGAGCAACGCTGGCAACATCACGATATCAGGCTTTAAGCTATGCTCTCCAGCTATACTAGAAAATCAGTGTGGTGCTGATGTTAAGAACAGACATGTAGAAGGGTTGAACACAAGAAAATACAAAGCAGCAAACCCAAACACACACAGCCATCTGATTGTTGACAAGCCAAAATATTTGTGGAGAAAGACCATCTCTTTAACAAGTTACTCTAGGAAAACTGGAGAGCCACAAGCAAAAAAGTGAAATTATATTCCTCTATTTCTGTGCTAAAATCAATGAAGATGGAGCAAAGATCTATGTATAAAACTAGAAACAAGTGTACTGGGTAGAAGAAACACAGAGGAAACACATTAAGCCACAGCTAAACATAAGAGACTTCCTCAATATTCCAAAGATAGACAATAATATCTAAAATAAGAAATGGGACTACATCAAATTAAAACATTGTGTTTGGCAAAGAAACAACTACTAGAATGAAGAGGCAAATGGGTAAACATCTTTGATAGCTACTCTTCTGACAGAGGATCAAATATCTATAATATATAAACAACTCAGCAAAACTAAACTCTATAAAACAAAAAATGCAATACAAACTGGGAAATGAACTTAATAGATGCTTCTAGAAAGAAGTGTTCATATTAAAATATTTGTTTTGTTTTACTTGTTTGGGACCTTTTGGCTTTCTATCAATTTGACTGTTTTCTGTTGCCTTTAGTAAGACAACAAATTAATCAAGGTTCCTTGGAGGGTGGTTGTTTTAACCAGTCTAGATGGAATGCAGACATCCAAATCTCTCAAATTGTTTGGAAATAAATATTGTTTGGAAATAAAGATTTAGAAAGTTCTCTTAAAAACAAGGTTGTGTTAAATGAAGGCTTATATAAAACTCAAAAATATAGACTTTGCAGTTTAGCCATTTGACCAGATGATTTCACCTTGTTTCAGTATTTCATACATATAATTTGGATTTACCTGTCTGTTGATAAGTCTAACGCATTTATATTATTATGTTTCTATGTCCTGTTGCTAACATTTTAACATAAGTAAATCTCTGACAAATGGCTTAAATTAAATTTTTGGTAAGCTAAAACACAAGTCTTCAGAACAGTTAATATACATATTGACTATGTTGCTAGCCAATGAGGAATACATTTATTTCTGTTATATCTTTTTTACTTTGGAGAGAATAAAACCAAAACAAATAAAACACATTACAGATAATCAAAACAAAACAGTGAATGTGATACAAGACTTCAAAACAAGGTAAAAGGAAACCAACAATGGTCACGATGGTGTCTCTTGCTGCCTCCAAAATAACTTCCCATACCATCATGCACAATAAAATCAAACAAAACAGAACAAAATAAAACCAATCAAAACAAAACAATGAAAAGTATGAGAATCCAAAACAAAAAAACAGGAATACAACAGTAGCTACCATAATGTATCTTGTGATCTTCAAATTAGCTGTTTATATCATCAGACATAATAAAATAAAATAGAATAGTCAACCAAAACAAAATAATGAACATGATACAAGGCTTCAAAACAAGATAAAAGGAAATCAATAATAGCCACCATATTTCTTTTTATTATATATAAAATAACTGCCCATACCATCAGGCATAACAAAATCAAACAAAACAGAACAGAATAAAACCAATCAAAACACAACAGGAGTTCAAAACAGGACAATAGCAATACAACAGTGTCTGACATAATGCACCTTGTTATCTCGAAAGTAGCTGCTTTACCATCAGACATAATAAAATCAAACAAAGCAAAATAGAATAAAATCAGTAAAAAACAAGTAGAGCAATTCAGGACTTTGAAACAAGATAATAGGAAATCAATAGTGGCTACTATAAAGCATTTTGTTATTTTTGAAATAACTGTCCATGCCATCAAAGATGATAAAATCAAGCCAAACAAAACATTTACCTACAAGAGCCTCCAGGTTATCTTTCTACATAGCCGAGTAGCTTTCCATTGTATACAGATGCCATACCTTTCTTATCCATTCTGCAGTTGATGGACAAGCTACCCCTACTTTTTTTGTGATTCCCTGTCACATAGAGTATTGTTTTTCTCTCCTTTGACTTTTAGCCTAGGAATTTTCCTTTTGAGTTAAATGTGTTTCTTGAATAAGGCATATTGATGTATCTTGTCTCCTGATCCAGTCTGCTTGTGTTTATTTTTATTGGTGAATTGAGGCCATCTGCATTAATAGTTATGGTCAGCATGCACTGGTTTGAGTCCGCCATACTACTTTCCTACCACTGGCTGCCTACTTTTCCCCTCCATTCATTTGTATGCCCCACTTGGTGATTACCCTTTGCTGCTATTCCTGGAACCATGGTCTCTGTCTCTGTCTCTCTCTGTCTCTGTCTCTCTGTCTCTCTCTCTCTCTGTCTCTCTCTCTGTCTCTGTCTCTGTCTCTCTCTGTCTCTCTCTCTCTCTATCTCTCTCTCTCTCTCCTCCCCCCCCTCCAGAATATCCTTCAGTATTGTTTGTAGGATTGGTTTGATGGTCATTAATTCCATCACTTGCTCTTTGTCATGAAAGTATCTTGTTTCTCTATTAATTTTGAAAGATAGTCTTACAGGGTACATCAGTCTGAGTTGTTTTCTTTTAAAGACTTGAATTACTTCACTCCAAGCTCCTCATGACTTGATGGTTTGTATTGAGAATTCTGTCATGATTCTGATGGGTTTCCCTTTATAGCTGATCTGGTTTTTTTCTCTAACAACTTTTAATATTTTCGGTTTTTGTTGATTTTGTGCAATCTTGATTATATGAGCATAGATTTATTTTAGTTATGGTTAGCTGGAGTTCTATATGCCTCATTTATCTGTATATCACATCTTTTTTCCATGTTTGGGAAGTTTTACAGTATTATTTCTGTAAATAGAGTTTTAATGTCATTTGTGTTGACCCCTGCCTTTTCATTGACACTTATTCTTAAATTATTTTACTTTGTATTATCCTGCAATCATTGAATTGTTATTTCTTGGCTGTTTGTTATTTTTAAGAGATCTTTCCTTTCATTGATCTCATAAGCTACACACCTATCTTCAAGGTCTAAAAGTCTATCTTCAGTTTCTTTCAAGCAGTTTTGCCAGCTTTCAGTGGAGTTTCTAATTTCCTGGGTATCTCTTTGAAAGTGTTTCATATATTCTAAATCTCTCTTATAATGTTCATTCATGGTTTTCCTCATTTTCCTATGCTTCTCTATTTTTTTGTCTATTCCTTCTTTAGAGATGATTAGCAATTCCTTTATTATTTTCTTCATTTCTTTTACCTAAGATAGTATTTCTGTTCTAATTACTTTCATGGTCTCATGAAGTTGTCTCTTACTTCGGTTGCCATCACTTCAAAAACTTCAGGTGCATGACTCCTGATCTCTTCTGTGTTCATGTATCCTGGACTTGCTCTGCTTGGGTTGGGGTGCAGGGGCTGCCTTTTGCTTCTTCATCTGATGTTTTCTTGGGTTATTCCAAACAAACATGTAGTGAAATCCCTGACACTTTCCATGTTGGCTACCATTCTTCTGGAGTGTGACTGTTTGGTTCTCCTGGGTTCTGCTGACCAGTGTTGTTATAAATATCCAATCATGGCCACTGTGTGCACTGGTATAGGGCTGGCTGCTGCCTCCTTACTGAGCTGATTACCATTGGGCACTGGCCCTGCTAGATTGCATGCCTGGACAGGGCCAACTGCTGTCTCCCTCCCAAGCTGGTTACTGGTGGGCACTAGCTCTTTTATGTCTTTAGAATGCAATATTAAATGATTTGTATGTTTTAAATGTTGTAATTAATAATGGACCCCCAGGGGAATGTAACTGAAGAGAAACTCTTTCTAAACCACTTTTGTTGCTCGCATCTGGCCAAAATCATATGTTGATTCATTGCTGATGCCTTCTAATAAATCATTCAGAGACAAGGAATGAGCCCTGGCAAAATAAAATAATAGACTCACTGGGTCAACAATACTAGGTCAGAATGTAAGCAAAGTCAAAAATTTATTTATTTATTCATTTACTTATTTATAACTCATTCTTATATAAGATTGCCTGAAAGCTAAGGTGTTTCTACTTGGTGAGGCTCATGCATTTCACAAGGCTTCGCCACTTGGGTAGAGATAAATAAACAAAGCAACAACAAACAACCCCCCAAATACAAAAGCCTGTAATACAGAGGAATGTGATGAGACAGAGAGAGAGAGAGAATCCTGTTTGATTTCTTTAGTTGTTTACCTTCTGACTTTTATTCCCTCTTGCATTCTGCTTGTCAGTTTACAGTGGTAATTCTAATTCCAGGATCAAGAATCTGGCTCCTGTTACTAGTACACCTCAGTTTCTGTGCAATAGAAATTAACAGCCAGCCAGATGACATGGAATCCCAAATTCCTCAGGAATGAGGAATGAACTAAGAAGCAGCAAAGCTTCTTTAAAATTAGGAATTTAACAAGGTTTAGTTTATTTTTTTACTCTGTTCGAGCTCTTATTGATCGTCTCATACCAGAATGGACACAAGTCCCCATCCACTCTTCTGTTCTAAGAGAACGCCCTGAACCAGAATTGCAACATGGCTGTATATATGTAGGTTCCCTGGCCCACCACCTGCTTAAATACATACATGTGTATTTTTGGCTTTTATTTCTACATTAATGATCCTTCCTGTAAATTGTAATGCTGCACTGGGTTCCAAGAAGGCAGATAAAAAAATGAGTGCCTTGGCCATCAGTCGCAGGGCCCAGGACAAGCAGCAGCCGCACAAGGCCTTCTCTCCCTCCCCAGCCCGCCCTTCCACATCCTTTCTGTCCTACTATCTGCCAAGGGACCCAGAACAAGCAGAGGCATGCAAGTCCAGGCCCCCCAACTCACCTATTCCACCCTCCTGCCATCCCGCCATCCACTGCTGGACACAGGACATCCAGGGGAACACAGAACCTCCAGCAGCTTGCAGGGCCAAACCAAGCCAGTCTCTTCCATGCCCCTGCTGTCCCACTTCTGCCCTGTGAGACACCCCATCTTCTGGACCTTAGTATTGCTGTTATCTTCGGCTCCCACTCCTCCCCCCAGAGCATTGGACTGCAGTGATTAAACATACTACGTCGACATGATACGCAGTAACCTCTCATCCAAAGAGAAGACCTCAGCAGGCTTCCATCAATGTGATGAGTTTGTCCCTAAAATAGGAATACAGTTTGCCACCTTCAGTGGGTAAACAGGAGGAATAGTTAAGCCCCTTCCAGAAGTAAAATCTTGGCAAGCTTGGCAAGAGTGTGGATGAGTCCTTCCTCCACACAGAGAACATCAGGTAAGTTGAGGAGGGTGCCAATAAGGCCTCCCCCAACCTGGAGAAAATCAGAAGACCTTATGAGACACCCAGTGACACAGAAGGGCCCCAGCCAAGATAAACACTATAGACAGGAAGATCTAGTGACTGGAACAACCTGAAGATACAGTAACAGCAAGAACTAAGGATTGATTTACATCAATACACCAGGTTTGCCATCCTAAGAAGAATATAGGACTCACTCAACAGGCCCAGCAGAGGAATTCAGGTAACTGGCTCACCTCTTCATTGTGGCACCCAGTAGTTGGACAAACATCAATCACATCTAGTCCATCAGGAGCTAGCTGTACTGAGCAACTCCTTTACTAAGGTTATTTCTGTCTTTACATGAGAGATTACTTCTAATTTGATTTCCTCTATAGCCTCATGGATTTGTCTCTATTTCACTTGGTATCTTTTCAGAGATTTCTGGCGTGTGACTGTTATAATTCACAGTATTGGAGGCTCCAGTCTAATGCTGGTTGTGGCTCCACTGAATTGTGGCTTACACGAGGCTAGAAATGTTGATGGGGATTCATGGTCAAGAAAACCTGTTGGCCTCATGGCACATTCAATGATTTAAAATGTCTCAATTGGCCCTTCCTAAAGGATCCACAAAATTCCAGCAATGCAACTAGGGACAAAGCAACTAACATGGGCCTTTCAAGACATTACAGATCCAAACTATGGCATGGATGTGGGTGCTTTAATCAGGAGTCTGCATTTTTCATTCCTCTCCTTCTACCTCATCACTATGCTGCAGGGAAGAAGGAGCTCCAAGGCAGCAATGCACAGATATTATGCTCTGAGGGGAAATTCGTTTTACCAAGAGATTTGCATAGTTCAAGGGCTGGGGTGAGTTACAGGGTCGGGAAGGGAAGTAGAAAAAGAAGGAAGGTGGCTGGGTGCAGGGAAAGAAAAAACTTCTGTCTGATATGCACATAGAGCGACAAATGATTTGAGAGGACCAGTAAGGATAGGCTTTTTTAATAGCCTCTGTGTGAGTTATGAGTATACACACTGAAAGTTAACCCTGTGTATATGTTTGTGTGTACCTATTTGTCCCCAAACATTTATAGAAGTATGGCTGCCATGCTAATTTGTAGGATTATTTTGAGGAATAAGTGAAATTATAATGCATTTGAAAAGCCCAAAATAGTATTTACAGGTAGCATCCAACACAACACTAACAACAATTTGATTATATAGACTTCAACTGTGGTTATCTCACAGTGGTGTGGGGGTAAGGGTTATGACTCCGGCCACTTCTGTGCATTTCCTGGTTTTTTTCTTTCTGCAATTAGCTTCTATTGAGAGGCCGAGTAACACTCTATGGTTAACAGTAAGAAATTTGGGGGTCTGGGATCTAGATTAGCGGTAGTTCATGTGACTTTCATGAAAGAGGTCTTGAATTCAAACACCACCTCCAAAAGAGGGAAAAAAGAAAAAAGGTGACAGAAACAGGGGGCAGGGTTGGGGGTGACCTGCCTGGATTTGAATAATTCTGTCTACTCCACTGCTCTATGTAGGTGACTGGGAGAATTTTTCTCTGTACCTCTGTTTCCTCATTCCTCATCTGAAAGTAGGAAATAAAGGTACTAGCTACCACATAATATCTCAAGGACACAGAAAGTCAAGGACTCAGCAAGTTAATTATACAGAATGCTGAGAACTACACCTGCCTTACCTGTTGATAGAGCTAAATTAACAAAAGATCATTAATCTTTGGGAATAATTTAAAAAGTTAGACTCCAGCTGTCTTAGTTAATTTTCTCCTTCCTGGGGCAAAATGCTCAACACTCAAAGTTACATTAAGGGTGGAAAAGTTTATTTCAGCTCACAACCTGTAGAGGTTTCAGTTCATAATCAACTATCTCCGAGGTAGAGTAGCACAGCAAAAGAGAAATCCACACTAAGACAGGCAGGAGGGCAGCAAGCAGCAAATAACAGCAGGAGCATCCGCAGCAGCAGCAACTCCAGAAGTGAGCCTGCCTTCCCTCTCTCCCTTTATATTCCTATTAATCGGTGCCATCCTCACCCAGATCAGTGCTAATTCCAATCAGTGGACTAATTTAGCATCACACATTCTTAATCCCAGTACCACATAACCTAGCTCCTGCCAACTCTCTGGAAAATGGTGGAGCAATGAGCAGCAGAGAAAGAACCTCTCCAAGTTTGGTATCCAGATCCTAGAATATAGCAACATAAGGAAGAGAAGGAAAGATGCGGGTATACAGGAAGGATCTGAACAAAGTCTTGAAGTCCATGGAGAGAGACAGTTTAGGAATCCAGCAAAAATTTAAAAAACCAGAGATGGCAGCCTTGCTGGATGGGGAGAAGCAGCAGGGAAGCAATTCAGTCCCGCATCCTGTGTGCCAGTGGAGGCCCTGCTGACAGCAGAAGGGAAGCAGAGGGGAGCAGTGCAGCTCCTGTGCCCTGTGTGCCGGCAGGGGCCCTACAGGCAGTGGAAGAGCAGCAAGGAAGCCATGGAGCCTCCTTGTGTGCTGGCTGGGGAGAAAGAGCAAAGAAGCCACCTCCATCGCCACCTCCCACCTCCCACCTCCCACCTCCCACCCCCCACCTCCCAGTAAGCAAGCAGAAGAGACACAGGCTGAGATAGTAATAACTGAAGAAAGGAAGCAACTTGAAATTTAAGTTGTTTGTTTGGTTTTGCAAGCTTAGGGGCAGTAGCCTGAGCAACTAATTAGAGGATAAGACTATGCAATATAGTAACAATAGTGGGTTTTCTACTATCCTATCACTGTTCTTTCATTTCACTTTATGGTTCCATTTTACTCCATTCTAAGAATTTTTTTTAAAAAAAAAGCTACATATCCCCACCTATGAGCTGAAGAGGCAGAAAGGGAGGCGGTTTCTAGATACAAGGTGTATTATTGTCCCTCCACAACCTGGGAAGTTGCATTACAAGGGAACCAAAGTGGGATCCAGGCTGACTGATGTGCATGTGCTCAGTCCTGCGGCTGAGGGCTGAGCTTTGCCAAAAGAGATGAGGACAGACAATCTGTTGAAGAGACATGAGCAGGGGCTCTCCCAGGCTGGGACAACAGGCCTCCAATGCTGCCTGTCCTGGGAAAGAGAGAAATAAAATCTACACAGGAAATATGAGGGAAGCAGGGAATGCTGTGTAAATCTGTTGAGGGCTGAACTGTTCCCCCTCCTGTCTGTGAAATGTGAAATCCCAACAGTACAGAATGTGAATAATTTTTAAAATGGTTAAATGAAGACATGGTGTGGAACCTAATTCAACATGACTTGTGCTGTTATAAGAGAAGGAAATGATACAAAAGACAGACATAAGGGAGACATGTGTAAGACACAAGCAGAAGACGCTGACTTCAAAATAGAGAGATAAATCTGAGATGGAACCAACCCTGCCATCTCATCACTTTGATCTTGGGCATCTTCCTTCCAGATTTGGGAGGAAATGAATGCCTGTTGCTTTAGTCACACGGAATCTGCAGAAATCACAGTCAGGTACCTGATAAAGCATCCACAGACAATGCATTGTGTTTATCTTCTGTGGCCATGCCTATATTAATTTGTAGCCTCTGAGGTTCAGTGGTAGGGGTGGTTCAGAATCAAGGAGAGAGGATTCTACCCCAGGGCTATGCTCACCTGTGAGTCTGAGCGGAAGCATCAGTAGCAGGACAAGACAAGATGGTTGGAGCTGGGAGGCAGAGACAGGCATCATGGAGGCCCGAGAAGGGTTCTCTGCTCAAGTGTCTATGTCAGGAAGATGCCAGTCTCCACTCTTGGAAATTAGAGTCACCCCGCCTCCCTCCCTGAAAGAAGAAGTGGCTCTGTTGTAATGAGATCGCAACCTGCTTCAAGATTGCAAAATTGAAATCAGACCACACAGGCAGCTATAAGGCAGCAAGTTCCTCAGGGTGAAATTTATAGAGGTCTAGACAAGCCTATCAGAAACAATGCTTTCTCACTGCCTTGTGGCTGCTCTGGCCCCATATGATCTTTCCTGCTTTATTGAAATGTTGTTGATTCTCCATTTGGGGAGCCACAGGCTAAGAAGTGTGTGTGTTTCAAATTCTCAAACTGCAGACTCACCCTGATTTACTCCACAAACTCAGGTACTGGCTACCGGGGCATCATTAAGACAGGATGGAGTCAAATTTACAACTTCTTGGATGTTATATTTGTGGAAAGAGATGGTTTCACATTTAAAGTCTCTCTCGTGATGCCAGGGTTTCCGAGGAGCTTCATCTCCTCCAGGACTCTTGTATACCTGAAGATCCTCTAAAGATTAACTATGTCAACAATAATGGGAATTTAGGGCCTGTTGGAATGGTGCAGTTAATCATTGCTCACCATGTAGCTCCATGGGCTTTCACTACTTTCCATTCCCAAACCACACTGTTTAATCAACAATCATATATTACCAACAATCATATACTGTTATCATATAACAATCATATACTCACTACTTGCCATTCCAAAACCACACTATTTAATCAACAATCATATATTTACCATATTCAATACCTTTTTTAAAGGATTATAGACCCTGAGTAAATGGTTGCATCAACCTTCAGAAAATCTATAAGGTATTTGGTACTATGTCCCTACAGGGCCTCTTCTGTGTTTCTAAGATGCTTGCCAAATCAATGGTACATTTTAAGCAAACAGCGACTAGAATATCTGGATGCAATTACCAGAGGGACATTGGGGACTGGGAAAAGTAGCATGATCTGTAGAAAATGACTTCCTGCCCATACGATAGATTATCCCTAGATAGAAAGTGGAGAATACTATGACATAAAGAAAGCTAAGGATATCACTTCAGTGTAGCTTGTTCTATAAAAACTCCTCCTCTTAATAGCTGGATATGGAGCAGAGCACTGTGGAGTGGTGAAGTCTAGTTGGTCACCACTGGACACTTTAGTTTTCTCTGGTGATTTCCCTGTTTGATCTACTGCCATTAGACATTTTTTAGGTTTCCTGTCTGGCTGGGATCACTGAACATTCCCAGTATGTTATTCTGGCTTTCTTGTCCATGTTGTCTCCAGTGCAATTTATCCTTTTGTGCTAGTAATTCTTAACTAACCCTATCCTTTCCTGTTGATACTTTAATAAATCTGTCTCTCATACATAATCTCCATCTGTTCATCTTCCTGATGAGACAGAGAAGAGGCTCCTGACCCTCCCATTTGGCCCTCCTGTTGGCTAGAGGGTGCATGGTTTGGCCAGTGGCTTTGAGTCTCTTTTCCCTCACTTCTCTCCCCAGTGCGTGGGACCACTCTCCTTGGTGTCCTCCCTGGTTATTTAGTGATCACTCTCCTTTATGCCTCTCTGACATGAATGCAGCTTGACTCTCAGATATGGTGGCCCTGCCCAATTCCTGCTGCTTCTAGTACTGTTGCCATCTGATTGAAGGGAGGGTGCAGATTAGAGTGGTCCAGATCAGTGAAGGATTGGTCTGGGTTCATTGTTAACATTCTCAACTCTTTTTGAGCCCCAGTTAACTGTGTTGAACACATTTAGTCTTCCTAAGATTCCGATTTGAGCCCTATCAGTTTCTGTAGAGATGCAATAACTGTCAAGCAGTTTGCATTGCCCTGCCCATCCCTAATCACTGCCATGACAGCTTCACCTGATTGAACCAGTCACAGACCTGTGTTTGGACCAATTAGCAGGCTCAGATTTGAATCAGTTGCAGTCCTGCACTTGGAAAAATCATAGGCCTAAAGCTGTTGTATAGTGTAAGTAGTACTTCCTATATTCCTTTCCAGTTAGTATAGGAGGGTACCTGTTGTAGTCAGAATTTTACTAGAGGAACATGTATAACACAAAATACATAAATCTATAAACAATTCTAAGATTGTCTTATGATGGTCAGTCATAATATCAGATGAGAAAGCATCGGAGAATGTCTGCAAAGCCAAAGATTCAATCCAAGATTGAGAGTTCATTGTAGTGTGCCATGTTAGTTGGCACCAGAAGACCAATGGGTCTGCAACAAGAAGTCAAAGAGTCTATGACAAAAGACTGCAGGATCCAAAGCAGAAGCTGAATAGTCTGCACTGGATGCCAGGAGACAATGGCCAAGCAGAAGGCAAAAACTGGAGCTCTTCTAGATCAGAACATTGTCTGTCCTTCTCACTTCTCTTTTATAATATCTAGGTGATGAGCCACCCTAGGGTAGATCTTCTATGCCCCAGTGTGTAGAATTGCTAAGCCAATTTAGTTAAACTGTTAAACTCCTCAAGTTGTGACAATAAATCACCCACTACAGTGCCCTCCTCTGTACTGACTCTCCTGTGCTGCAGCACAGATCTGGTTAAAATGAAAAATTTTCCATTGGTCCTGTAAGCCTGCTTGTGATCTATTTCTCAGATATTGTGGACTCCAAAGGTCCATTGAATCTGCTCAGAATTTTTATCCTGGGTAGTGTAGGCAGAGTTTCAAAATAAAGACTAAGAACTAAATACAAGAGACTGTTAGCTTGATGAGCTCAGGGACCAGCAACTAACAAAGATCAGCAGCAGAAACCAGAAACTAGCAGCACTGACTTATGGGATCCAGCATAAGCTGGTGGCAGCCAGTCAGCAGCAGAGATCATCACCTGGCAGAATCAACCTACGGCAACAAGTTGGTGTTGGCTAGACGTGATTTATGGTGACAATGACCAACAGCCAGCGGTGTCAAATATTGGCATTCAGCATTATACACTGTTATCTAGTGAAATCAAGACAGATGACAGAGCTAGGCTTTGCAGGTTTATGATTCCATCTGAATTGAGCAAAAGAACTCCCATCTGATTGACAACACTAGCAGCTTACTCCACTCCTTACACCATTGCATACCTGGACTGTGGGATAAGATACTGGTGTTTATTCCTGGAATGATTCAATATGGAAAAGTCAAACAATCTAATATGTCACATTGCTATAGGAAAAAACCCATTTGATGCAGCATTTGACAAAATTCAATATTTTCTGCATAATCATGAGACTGCATAGAAAGTTCCTTAATATGATAAAGCTAATATGTAAAAAAATTTGCAGCTATCATCGCACTCAGTGGTGAAAGACTAAAGACTTTCTCTCATATAGGAACAGCTCAAAGACTCAAAATTTCACCATTTCTCTTAAACATATTTCTCAAAGTTCTAGCCAGAGTAAATACTCAAGAAAAAGTTATGAAGGGCATTTGAACTGGAAAGCAAGAGGTATATTTATCTATTTGTTGATAACATAAATTCTTATGGAGAAACCATACAGCTTCTCTGCAAATTCCTGTTAGCAATAACAACTGAACTCAGCAGATTTGCAGTTCAAAGTATCAGCACTCAAAGTTCAGTTTTATGGCTATGTATTTATAGCAAAGATTCAAAATAAAAATTAAGCAAAAACTCCATTGACAGTAACACTAATTGTTAGGTCCCCCATCTGAGACAGCCCAATCATCATGGCTACAGTTCAAAGCTGTGCCCTGAGAATGCACACCTCCTTCTTCCCAGAAGCCCCTATAGCTTCTCTGTCCCAAAAGTCTGCCAAGCTCAGGAATGTAAAGACTTACCCAGTTCCCTGCACTCTCACAAAATAAATCAACTCACATCAATCCCCAGAGCCCTACCCTCATCAGAACTTACATCAGGCAGAACCAGCCCTTTGTCTGCAGGTAGAGCCACCACAGCCTTTCTTGTGGTGACTACCTCCATGCCCTCTCCCCTTATTAAACTCTTTCCTTATCTACTTGCCTCCTCTCTTTAATATTCTATGGTGCTCTAGATTGAGTACAAATCACTCAATCTGTTGGTGCCACTGGAGTGATTGGAGGCTGTGTGTCTCCTGGGGAATCTTTCTCCTAGTCTGGGACCCCCTCCAACCTACAGACCTTTCCTCTCTGATGCTCCTTCTCTCTCTCTCTCTCTCTCTCTCTCTCTCTCTCTCTCTCTCTCTTCTCTCTCTCTCTCTTTTTCTGGGACTAGGGACTCCTCAGTCTTGCCATTTCTAGCCAACATCCAACACCGGCCTTCATCTCATCAGGTCCAAGTTGAGCCTCCCCTCTTTGTGGTGCCTGTGATAAATCATGGCCATGTCGAGACATCCCCCTACTACTCCATGTCTTTCTGGGACCTCTACAGCCTTCAGGATTTCCCATGCCTCCTCTGGTGATGACCAGAGAAGTCATTGCTGGGACTACTCTACTACTACTACTGGTTGTGCCTCACTGGAGGGTGATGATCCTCCATTCACTCACAACCCTTCCTTCCCCTGGCTCATTTTTCTAACTCCAATACATGGGTAATAATCAATCATTACGTGACAAAACCACTCCTCTGGGCTGCACTTAGATACACTCAGGCTAAAACAAACTCTCAGGCTAGAAAGTCTAACACTAAGAGATTTATATAACTCTTACTACTGAAATGGCAAGTAGGGATAAATACTTATGTCCAGCTGTGGGCAAGCCCTGGCCTATTCCAAACCTGCAAGACCTCCCATACTCTTTTGACTTCACAGGTCCTCCTCCTTCATCAGCTCACCACTGTGACTCTCTCCTTTCTTGT